TGCAGGCTGACCTGATGACTCAGGAAGAGAGCACCCTGCCCCTCTTCAAACTGAGTTTTAAGGAGATGCTCTGGGGAGGGGCATTTGTCGGGAACAAATGCTGAAGTTTTGTGTGCTGTTGCAGACTTCTGGAGTTTGCAGGACTGCTTGCTTCTTCCTTGCTTCAAGGACTCAGTGCCTTTTTCCTTCCTTCATGGACTCATTATTTCTTCCTCACTTCGTGGACTCATCGTTTGTTCTTTGCTTCATGGATTCATTTCCCTGTTCCTTTGCTTTGCTAGACTGAACGCAGCCAGAGGCTGCCGTGTGTGTGTGTGTGTGTGTGTGTGTGTGTATGTGTGTATGTGCTTTGCTCTGGGACTTGCCAAGAATGTGGGAGCGTTTGTGGGAAATTTGGAGCATTAAAGGGGAGTTTGAACTCTGAGCTGGCTGTGTGGCCTTTGTGCCTTGTCCCAGGTCATCACACTGTGTCCATTATTTTGTATACAGGGAAGTTTTCTGGGACAGCCATCTTGTGCGAGTGCTTATAACATGCTATGAAAACCCCATCAGTCCATCTCAATATGACCTGCTTTTAATTATGCTTATATGGTTCTGCAGTCAAAAAGAATTATAAAGTCTCTTCTGCATGATGATAATGACCTCTAGCTTCTAGTCTAGTATCCAATATATAATTCTCTGCCTCTTTTTAGCATTCAGTATTGCAAGTGACAGAAGCAGAGATATGAAATTAGGTGTACCGTGACACTGTTGATTAAAGTGAATGGCATCCCAGTTAATGTAAATGTCTTACCATTGTAAAATAAAATGTGTATGACACATGGGGAAAAAATAAAATACAGATGTACATATCCCCAAAGCACATTTGATTTCAAGTGAAGGAGACATCCTATGAAGCAGACATTCACAAGCACGAAGATGATAATGTTTTCAAAACAGTCTGTTTGGAGAGAGATAAAAACTCAGAAGTTGATAGAAGTTCCAGTTGGCTGAAAGAGCAAACATTCAGATTTATTATTGATTTATACTTATTGTTTCATCGTTGTTCTCTTTTTTTTCAATATAAAAATGTGTGGGGCAAGTTTGAAACGTGCAAGTGTGTTACAAGAAAATATGGCTTGAACTGCCAGGGCAACTATAGGCAGAGGTGCTGGATTTTGGAAGTAAGAGGATGGACTGGAAATACTTTAGAGATAAACAGAAGAAATTTAGGACAGGAGAAATTGGAAGCAAAGAGAAGGAAGGGAAGCCAAAGGATTATGTCTGCATAGATCCAGGGCAACATTCAAATGTCATACTATTTAAAGCTTAGCTCTTGTGTAGAAAGTTTTGTCTGTGAATTAAGCCATGAAGCTTTGGATTGCTATTGATGTTCTTGTAAGATTAATTGTACTATAAACATTGACATGAAAAAGAAGAGCACAGGTCATTAGAAATCAAGACATGGCAATGATGCAAGTTTTTAATTAATGCTATCTCACAGCAAGTGATTTCCCAGGGGAGTTAAGGCGATGTGTAGTGAATGGTAAGTCCTACTATGCAGGCACACATCCTTAAACAAACACAACAATGTGGATGTCTGAATTATTGCATAAAAGCTGTCTGGAAGACCAAGCAGTGCAATTAAATCTTGCCTGTATGAACCCTTACTACAGGTCAAACAAATCTAATTTTTATTGTTCCTTAAGGAGATGGTGTCTATGCGGACAACAAAGAAGGGATATAGCGAAGAACTTTAATGAAAAAAAATGTTCACAAAAATGCCACAGCAACTAAGATAAATTGTATTGTAGAAGGAGTTCACAAGTAATTGACGACTTATGTGGTAATGCTTTGGTAGCCAGGCTGATCTGTGATAGATCTCAACTGAACTGGAGGAACCTTTCAAGGAGAAAAACAAGGTTAACTTTTAATCTGAATAAAGGGGGGGAAAAAGATTTCAAGAGATATATGGCAAACTTGTCACTGCCTATTATATGACTATGTTCTGTAGAGCAAATGTAAAAACAATAATATAATCAAAGGACAGAAAGCATTTTTAAAGGATTGGCATAGATCAGAGGAGAACAGCATAGCTAGCTAGGCACGTACACATTCACAGTATGGAAATACTTTTCAAAGCTCCTAGAATTATACATCACAATCCTGATTGTAAATGGTATTTTGTGCTGCAATAGTTAATAAGAAATATCATATTTATGGACTCTCTCCATTCCTCAACATGTCAGGTCTCTGGCCTTCAAAAGCTACAGCTGCTAGTGAAGCAATATGATTAAGTGAACCTTTTAGGACAGATTTATGGAAAGAATTTTTCCTCCAGTAAGTGTCACATGGGGTCTAACTCAGTAAGGGAGAATATTTCAAAGATGCCACCTCTTATTTAGACCCACTAAATTAGATGAGATTAGTGGTCAAATAGGCAGCAGGCCAAATTGGAGCAATATTGATTCATCCTACATTTATTGTTGGCATTCTGTTTTTTACTTTTAAAGCAGGAAAACAAGGAACTTTCATTCACCGTGCAATATTTTACTAGCAGAGAGGTGATGTAACTGTGCTAATCTTTTTAGGAAGACCATTTAGAAAAGTTAAAACACAGATTGGAAAGCATATAAGCTGGCAGACCCTGTATGCTATTCAACATGGAATACATATTGATTCTATAAGTCTCTAAGTTCAGAGCCCACACTTGTTTTGCAAGTTCAGATGGACTGTATAGTGTATTTGTGCAACTTGTCACAATTGGTGATTCAAATAATAAACACATTTGTCTGTTTTTTTTCTTTAACAATAAAACTGCTCTATTGCAACGACCCATTTACCTATTGACCAGTTACATACACAAAGGTGCTAAAATGTCTTTGTGCTAAAAAGCATTCAGTACAGGTAGGCCTCAACTTATGACCACAATGAGGCCAATGTTAACGTTAGTAACATGGCTGCCAAATGAATCTGGCTTTCCCATGGACTTTGCTTGTCAGAAGGTTACAAAAAGTGATCATGTGACCACCGGGACACTGCATCCATCATAAATACATGCCGGTTGTCAATTTTTTTTTTATCATTTGATCATAGGAATGTTACAATGGTCCTAAGTGTGAAAAAATGGTCATAAGTCTTTTTTTCAGTGCCATGGTAACTTCAAATGGTCACTAAACAAATTATTGTAAGTTGACTCCCTGTAATATTTGAGCACTGAGATATTTTCCAAACTACTTTTCAATTAATTATGTTTCAAGTCCACTTAAGAACTTAGGAAAATGAAAAGTAGACATTTCAACCAGAAGTGAGGCCACTTTCCCTCAAGACTACGTGTCAACCAATTACCCTTTTTTTTGTCGTCTTCAAAGCGTCCTCCAGCCACTTTGAAAATCAGCATTTTGAGACAGAAACACCCCCCCGCCCCCCAAAAAAGCATAGCCCTAAGTTGGACAATGCCTTTATAGTGTTGGAAGAATTATCCTTCTGGGTTCAGTTCCAAGTGGGGAAAAAGACACTGGAAACATGCAGGCTGTTTGGAAAGATGGTTTAATGGTGGACAGGACCACATGGCCTGGAGAAGGATGATCACATGCTTCAAGGTGGAGGAAAAGAGAAGGAAGGGCTGAGATGCTGAGTGCCTGGTTTTATACCTTCTGTTGAGATTTGAATTTGAGCTTGTATTCTGATTGGTTGTCAGACTCTCATGGGGCCATGCAGGGGAAACTCTGTAGGCTGTCCTGAGTTCCAGGCTTGGTTGAGCCTTGCTGGATGATGATGTAATGAAAAAGGCTTTGGGCAATTGCTATAGCTTTGCCTGGAGATCTTTGTTATGTAAAATATTCTGGCCCAGGTCTTAATGGCCCACCCATTAACAAGGGTGGGGGTGAGCTTCTGAGGTGAGTTTCTACTTCTGAGTTTCTATTCTTTTTAGTGGAAATATTCTGCCTTTTTAATATTTCCTAGGATATTTCATTTTTCTCGGAGGGGGGTGGGTACTAACTTCCTACAATAGGAAGCAAGCAAAATAACACAAAAGGGTGTTCAGGCCTGATGGTTTTCAGAAGTCTCCATTGGGAAAAATCTTAACATGAAATGCATTACCATGATATATGAACCCAGTGAATTATAAGTATCCTAACTTAGTGGCTGGTTCTGAGTTACTACTGTTAGCCATGATTGTATGGCTAAGTATGTGTGAACCTGGCCATGGCTTTTTTAAAAAAATGAACCATAATTGGCAGGGGTCACAGATACCATAGCTTATAAATAATTTCAGGGTGTGTCAAATTTGTCAACTTTCAATTTCCAAACATTAAGGTTGCTCAAACTTGTGACACGCCTTGGGGGTTGTAAATACATTTTGGTTATTTAATATAATTTAGCAAAGCTGGCTGGGGAATTCTGGGAGTTGAAGTTCTCCAGGCTTAAAGTTGCCATGGTTGGAGACCCCTGGTCTAGGCTAGCATCTCCAACACAGGAGATTTATAAGAAGAGATTGGACAGTTATTTGTCCGGAATATAGGGGTCTCCAACCTTGACCACTTTAAGACTTGTGGACTTCAACTTCCAGAATTCCTCAGCCAGCAAAGCTGGCTGAGGAATTCTGGGAGTTGAAGTCCACAAGTCTTAAACTGGCTAAGGTTGGAGACCCCTAAATAGGGTCTCCTGCTTGGGCAAGGGGTTGGACTAGAAAACCTCCAAGTTCCCCCTTCTAACTCTATTATCCTATTCTGCATTTTGGAAACCGTTAAGAAACTATCGTGGGTAGAAACTGAGGTGGGGGAATGGTGGCGGCCAGGAAAAAAAAAAAACATTTTCGGGGAAGGGGGGCCTTTTTCCCCCCCCCCCCCCCAACGGATTTGGGGGGGGGGGGGGGGGGGGGGGACGGGGGGGGGGGGGGGGAAACTCTCGGTCAAGAGACCAATCAGAAAAAAATCATTGACAAATGCCCTCCTGCCAAGGGAAGAAGAGGCATGCGGCTCCCCCCCCCCCCCCCCCCCCCCCCCGGCGGCCCCCGTCAGGGAAGGCCGGAAATTGCCCTGTCAGGAGCCCCGGTGGATCGCTCAAACGCATGGTGCCCGTTGCTTTTGACCACGGCTTGCTTGCTTGCTAAGATCGTGTTTCACTTTCGGGCAAGTAAGTGGCTTTCGCTTTCCAACGCAAATAATAATAAGGTTGTGTGGCAGAGCGTCCTGTTTACAGGAAACCCTCCTCTTGCGGTGCTTTGTCTGGCCTTTCCTTAAGAGGACAAAAACACGCCAGTTTCCCCCCCCCCCCCGCTTCCCAACTCTCTCCCCTTTCCTCTCCGCTCTTGGGCCGGGGAAGGGCTGCTCCTGGGATCCTCCTTCCTTCTCCCGCGTGTATGCCTGGGGGGGGGGGGGGGATGTATGGTAGAAACTCTTCTCCTCTGCTCGTAGAATGAGAGCAGAGCCGTTGCATGCCAGAAATAATCTTTTTTTTTTTAATTGGACACCTAATAATGACCCAGCCTGGGAAAACAGGTGAGAAAATACAGTAACGGGTAAAGCGAACCGTCTCAGGGTTAATTAAGGAGAGAGCGAAGCCGCTCGCAGCTTCCTGGAAAAAAACAAATAAACAACTAGACCGATGGCAGAAATAAAAGTCTTTGTCAGGGGCATTTTCTTTGCTTCATTTGTTAGATTGCTTTCTTGGCTTTCCTGCAGGAGCTCAAAGTAGTTCCAGTGTTGCCTCCAAAACACACAGTTCTCTAACCCCTAAGTTGCACTGAGAGGGACAGCCCAAAACCACACAATGGCTCTCCAGGGCTAAGAATCAAGTTTATTTGGGTTTTCCCCAAATCTGGTTCACCCTTTCAGCACTAGACTACACCTGCTCCTCAGAGAGGAAGGGAGGGAGGGAAGGAAGGAAGGAAGTTAGTTAGTTAGTTAGTTAGTTAGTTAGTTAGTTTATAAATTTGCATGACAACTCAGAACCAAAATCTAATTTTACTGGTTTTGTTCACAAAACACAATTGGTGAAACGCAGTTGGCTCTTTTCTGGTCCAATGGCTTCAGCATTTTCTCCTGGATTTTGCTACTTGATTCAAAAAGTTAAAGATAAGGTTATCAGCTACAGAACTATTTCTAATTCAATAGAGAAAGGGGGTTAAAAGTAGTCAGAAACTTGGGAGGAAGGGACAGCATCGTCTTCAGAATCAAGATATTGCAGAAAGAAAAATTAGAACATAGTCACACTTGATTTTAGGAGAGACAACTTCAGCAAGCTTAGAGGAGTATTGGGGTATTGCAGAAGAGTAGATTTCTCAAAAACAAGATATTTTAAACTGTTCTCCATTTCTTTTGACTGCAGAACTGTATACTCCAGTCACAAGAAAAAGAAAAAAAACGGAGCAGCTTAAGAAACCCTTGTAGATCAAAGGAATGTTCAACTGAGCTAGAGTTTTAAGAAAGGAAACATCTATAAGAAACAAAATGAGCATTATCTTCAGGGAAACACATAAGCAAGTAGCTAGTATTCCCAGAAAGTTAAGCTGATGTGGAAAAGGAGCTTAGTTTCAACTAGTGAAGAACAGCAACTGAGGTTTGGGGCGACATCAGCTGAAAAGTAGAAGCAAGAAGTTCCTGCTGATTGAAGAGAGGATAGTAGCAAGTAGTAAGAGGACAAATCTCAACTTCTAGTTTGCTTCTGTAGCTGAAAAGTAGGGTTGATTTGCATAGACTGAATTCCAAAAGAAACTAGAGAGTCCAGGAATAAAGAAGTGGTTGTAGGAAGGGTGTTCCTTCTCTTTTCCATCCCCCCAGTGTATTTCAGCTCTTCTAGTTTACCATCTATGTTCATACAATTTCGAGGAGCAAATCCTCTAAATATATCTGGTATGCCCTAATAAACTTGCTCCTCTTGCAATTCAGTTGATAAGTCTTTAAATTGAATAATCAAAGCTAACTCAGCCTTTACCTTTCAGTTAAAACTGCTATATGTGACTGCCTAGCACATTTACCTTGACTACAATTTGCTGATTTCTTGATTAGTTTTAGCTTTCTGGCATGATTTTAAAAGCATCTTTGAGTATGTGCATAAAATTGGCATAGCTGTCCATCATGGGATTATTATTGTCTACCAGAGTAATTGTCCATTTGACAGCTTATAAATCAAGAGTCCAAGGATAAATCTCATACATGTGGAATGTGTGGAAATTTCAGCTATCTTCAGTTAAATGTATAGCCTACACTAAAGCATAAAAACAACAAATTTATTTGAGGATCCTCCATATTTGTCTGGTAATAAGCTCGGTAACAAGAAACATGGTTGGATGGGCAAGAATCACCACAGCTAGTTTCAAACTTGACCCAGTTGCTAACATAAAAAAATTATTGAGCTGTATACTAGTAATTCAGAGCTGCAGTTCCGTGTTGAACTGTAGCATTGATGACTTGTTCAGCAGTCAGTGGTGTTCCCAGATAGCTTTAGTCAAGCCACTGCCATGGCTTTAATCAAGAACCTGATAAAACATGGCCTTTCTTATAAGTATTGTTGATATGAGCGTTAGGCTCTTGACAGTAAGTTTACCAAAAGCATTATTTTCTTTGAATCATCTTTAACAGGATTTGTTTGCAAGGGAAATAATTTTTATTATAGAAAATGTCTACAACTAGATTTCTTTCTTTTTAGGAAGCCAGTTCATCATATCTGTTCATTAAGATATAAGTTCCTTTCTAATGTCCCAACTGAGGAATTTGCAGGTAGCTGCAAATGTTTTTCCGCCAGGCTGCCCACTCCCTGAATAATACTCAGCTGTGAATACACCATTACAAAAACTATGATTCAGTTGATTAGGCAATTGATTTGTGACTACAGGTAGTCGTTAACTTACAACCACAATTGAGCCCAAAATTTATGTTGTTAACTGAGAAATTTGTTAAGTGAGTTTTGCCTTTTACGACTTTTCTTGCCTCATTTGTTAAATGAATCGCTGCAGCCGTTAAATTAATAACATGGTTGTTAAGTGAATCTGGTTTCCCAATTGACTTAGCTTGTCAGAAGGTCACAAAAGGCGATCCCATGACCCTGGGACACTGCAACCATCATAAATGTGGGCCAGTTGTCAAGCATCCGAATATAAATCATGTGACCTTGGAGATGCTACAATGGTCGTAAGTGTGAAAAATGGTCATAAGTCACTTTTTCATTGAAGTTATAACTTCGAATGGTCACTAAATGAACTGTTGTAAGTCTAGGACTACCTGTATTTAGAAAGGAATATGCATGGCAGGAGCCATCATTGCTTTGCCAAAAGCAAGTAATTGTCAAACTAAACTTAGTTTCTTTTTCTGAAAAAGCAGACAGTTTAATTGGCTGCAGGAGTGTAATGAACATAGTGTAAATTTCAACAAAATATATGACTGCTTCTTATAGAGAAGATAACAAAATGTGGGCTGGACTGTGTTTCCATTAATTGGATACCGTGGTGTTTGAACACTTGTACCGACAAGTGTACATCAAGCTGGAAGGAGGCTGATGAGCAGCATACTGCAAGACTCCATTCTGTTCGGATGAATGGTTAGAAAATATTACGAGACTTATAAATATGGGAGATAGATGAAGGAACAGCAAATACTTTAGAGACATATTCAAGATTCAAGAGGATTTTGACATGCTAGTCAGTGGACAGAAGGTAGCAACATAAATTTCAACGGGTAAATGCGAAGTCTTTTATTTTGCATAAAAAGAATCAATAACATGAATTCAATATGTTAATAATTTAAAATCTGAATAGACATGTAAAATACTTGTTGTCTATCGCTACAGGTAGTCTTCGACTTACAACAGTTCATTTAATGACCAGTATTACAGCAGCAGTGAAAAAAGTGACTTATGACTACTTTTTGTACTTACAACCTTTACAACATCCCCATGATATTGTGATCAAAATGCAGAAGTTTGGCAACTGGTTCATAATTATGACAGTTGCTGTGTCCCAAGGTCATGTGATCACTTTTTGCAAAGTTCTGACGAGCAAAGTCAATGGAGCAGCCAGATTCACTTAACAATCTTAGTGATTCACTTAGCAACTGTGGCAAGGAAGGTCGTAAAACTCACTTAACAAATGTCTCAACAACAGAAATTTTGGGCTCAATTGTGGTTGTAAATCAAGCACTACCTGTACTTCATTTATATTTGTGTCCTAGGCTGTAAGAAGACATTTAGATCTTTGGGACTTCATACTTAAGAAAGCTCAAGGTAATAGTGCCATATAACAGAATTTTTGCAGTTGGAAATTTTTGTAACCATGTGGCATGCCATTTATGTAGTGTAGGAACCCTGATATTCATAGGGCAAGATATCTCCTATAATTTTGATAAAGTTTAACAGAAATAATAAGAAAAGAGGACTAATACTTATGATATCATGAAATAAGTATACATATATTTCTGCAGATGTGTGGTCTCAGTGGAGTTTTTTATTTTAATATTTTTGGTTCTGCTTCTGAAATAGGGGGAAACATTATTGAGAAGGTTACTTATTGAAAAGATAGGTTTTTGAGAATATGATATATTTTGGGAAATTTGTCTATAGCAGCAGTTCCCAACCTTTCTGGAACTAGGGACAAGTTTCAGAAGAAAAATTGTCTTTGATGGACCAGGGGATGGTTTCATGCACAATCTAAATCCTGTGCATGAACAGAGAAATTTCACTCACTTGCCCATTGCTTATTCGGCCCAATTCCTAACAAGCCACGGAGCAGTACCACAAAATATGTAGTTATTAAATAACAGGTTTTCAAGATGAGTTGATCATTGGTGGTACTTAATGAAGTTATGGAGTTGAAGGTCAACATATACATTTGGCATCATATTAGAAATGACTGCTTTTTTACAGCACATCTTCATTCTGCCTTATTTTTGTCCAGGTAAAATATTAAGAAAGTATATCCTAATAATTGTCCTTGAAGAATGTGAAAGACCCTTTATCACTGATTGATCTCATGGTCAATTCAACAATCAAACTTTTTAAAAACTTATTTCTTTTGTTCCCTGACTGGTTTGGTCAGCCCTGTTTTGTTTCTATTTACTTTAAACAATGCTCTGGATTTAAAAAAAAAAACGAAACAGACTTCCAAAGAGTATTTATTTTCTGCTTCTGTCATCATAGTTCGGTGCCAGAAAACTGGAAAATTTATTCAAGGAGAAAGCAGGAAGTATATGCTTTGCTGTATATACAGGTTGAGTAATATCTCTGCAGATTACTGGTTGCTGGACTGCATGAATATTTATTATGCACTATGACTCTTCGATCGCTAAGAGTAGTTTGTCAAGCTTTCCACTTCTAGGATTTGTGAAGAAAACTTTAAAATTATTTTAACAGTAACGAGGAGAATTTAAAAATGAAATATTGGGCTGAGAAATTCTACTGCTGCAGAGGTTTGACTTAATTTTGAGCTTTTTAAAAATAATTTCTGGAAGAATTAACCAAAATTCTGTATGGATTATTTTCCTTTATAGTCACAAGCTTTTATTAGCAAAAATAGCAAAAACACAAAGTGCCACATTTCACTGTTATTGGATTGCTTGTTATACCAGCAATGTTTTGATTGTAACTAATAATTAGTAGTGAAAAGGTGGTAAATATTTACTGTTTACATTTCTCCATAATATAGCTATTTTGCGGCATAGTCCAAATAACAGTTATTTGTGAAACTGATAATGTTGTGCTTGGTGAACAAACAGGCTCAAGTAGGTTTCTAGCGGTGCAATAATTTGAGGGATGTTTAAAATGTGTTATGATCACATTTACAAACATGTCAATGTACTAGAATTATCTTTAGTATTGAAGAATGGTCACATTTCTGGCTGAGGGAATACTGTGGCCAAGGTTCACATGTCCTAGGGCAGGGGTGGGCAAACTACGGCCCGGGGGCCACATCCGGCCCGTTGGTCTGTCCAATGCGGCCCGCCCCTGAAAAAAAATAACTGCCATTGGTCTGTCCAATCCAGCCCGCCCCTGAAAAAAAATCGCTGGGTGTGGCGTATTGCCCTGTGTCGCGTGGCCCCCAAAGCTGCAAAGCAGTGCGGAGCAATCTAGGGGTAGGAAAGAAAAGAAATTTGCAAAGGCCTCGGCTGGGAGTTCAAAATCACCTTCAAGTGCGACCTCTCCGAAGGTAAGTCCCCGCCGATCCCCCTTTTTTTCCCGGGGCTTCCAGGCTTAAACTTTGCAAAGGCAAAGCTTGCAGGCTGGAGCGTCTTCCCGCCGAGGAGCGGGAAAGGTTCCACCCGGCAGGCGGGGCGGGCTGCTTGGAGCCACCTAAAGCTAGGCCGCTGCTGGTGGAGCCTTGCCCTGCCTTGGTGCCCCGTTTCCCGGCTCGGCGGTCCTGCTCGGGCGGCACTTTAAAAGCCTGCTCCCAGCACCCGAGCAACTTCCCAGCAACTTTCGGCTTCCTTTTAACTCGCGGTCGCTCGCGCCTGGCCCCGAGCCGCGCGGCGGAAGGAAAGCCCGGCGTGCGGGCGTGCAGGCTGCTTGGAGGAGGTTCTGGGCTTCCTCTCTGCCAGGTGCAAGCGCTCGCGAGTTAAAAGGAAGCCGAAAGTTGCTGGGAAGTTGCTCGGGTTTCCGGGGCTTCCAGGGCTTTGCAAAGGCAAAGTTTGCAGACTGGAGCGTCTTCCCGCCGAGGAGCGGGAATGGTTCCACCCGGTGGGCGGGCGGGCTGCTTAAACTTTGTTCGGGCGGCACTTTAAAAGCCTGCTCCCAGCACCCAAGCAACTTCCCAGCAACTTTTAACTCGCGGGCGCTCGCACCTCGCCCCGAGCCGCACAGCAGCCCACTCCAAGCAGCCCGCCCCACCCGCCGGGCGGAACCCTTCCCGCTCCTCGGCGGGAAGATGCTCCTGCCTGCAAACTTTGCCTTTGCAAAGCCCTGGAAGCCCCGGAAACCCGAGCAACTTCCCAGCAACTTTTGGCTTCCTTTTAACTCGCGGGCGCTCGCGCCTGGCCCCAAGCCGCGCGGCGGAGGGGAAGCCCGGCGGGCAGGCGGGCGGACTGCTTGGAGGAGGCTCCGGGCTTCCCCTCCGCCAGGCATGAGCGCCTGCGAGTTAAAAGGAAGCCGAAAGTTGCTGGGAAGTTGCTTGGGTTTCTGGGGCTTCCAGGCTTAAACTTTGCAAAGGCAAAGTTTGCAGGCTGGAGCGTCTTCCCGCCGAGGAGCAGGAAGGGCTGCTTAAACTTTGCTCGGGCGGCACTTTAAAAGCCTGCTCCCAGCACCCGAGCAACTTCCCAGCAACTTTCGGCTTCCTTTTAACTTGCAGGCGCTCGCGCCTGGCCCCGAGCCGCGCGGCAGAGGGGAAGCCCGGCGGGCGGGCGAGCTGCTTGGAGGAGGCGACCCGGCGGTGCTCCGGCAACAGCAACAGGCAGTTTCGCCCGGGCTCCGCTCAGGTGTCTGGCTGGGGCTGTGAGGAGTTGCTATCGCCGGCGCAGCTCCGTGCGGCTCCAGTCCCGCGTTGCCTTGGGAAGGAAAAGGCAAAACCAGGAGCCGCTGAGCCTGAGCCTTCGGTGCCGCTGCTCCCGTTGCAAAGCACCGCCGCGGCTCTTCCTTTTTCCCTTTCCCTTCCCGAGGCAACGCGGGACTGGAGCCGCGCGGAGCCGCGCCGGCGGTAGCAACTCCTGACTCAGGGGGCCTCCGAGGGGAGGGGAAGGAGGAGAAGGGGGGGAAGGGTGGGGGGGGGCGATTCCCCAAAAATCTTGTGCTGACCCGGCCCGTCTGTCAAATTTTAAAAGTCAATGCGGCCCCCGAGCCAAAAAGTTTGCCCACCCCTGTCCTAGGGCATTGTGTGACTTTAAATGTGAGTGTGCCCCTTATTTCTTTTCCAAATGGTAATAAAGTTGTTCATATTAAGTCTTGAGTTATGTGTGGTATGTTTGATATTATGTGAAATTCTTGACACTAGTTGGGCAGAGTTAGGCAACGTGAATAGGACAATGATTAGTAATGTTATTTGGAATTCTTTTGACCTTGTAAAACTGAAGATATTCCTGTAATAAGTGCATTGCCATTTGTGCAACACTTATCTGGTTTCTTCAAGTAGTGGGATTTGGAAATGGATGAACATCTCTGGGAGAAGGTTATTGTTCTGAAAGAGGCAGTGGATTTTCTTTGTAGAGGCCATCTCTCAATTCAATTGTACTGTATTAACTCTCAGTGTTTCCAACTTTCTCTTTGTGGTGAAGATTGTTGAGAAAATGATGGCAACAAAGACCCATAGAAGAAGTAAATTATTTGTAATTAATTATTTTAATTTGAGATTCAGGTCCTGATGTGGGATGAAAAAGACATTGATTACTCTAGGGAATTACCTTCATCAGGATTTGGATTTGGGAATGTATCCCTCTTGGTCTTATTAGACCTTAAGTATTGTTCAAAATCTTCCAAAATAGTGTTTCTCTTACAAGGCTTAGATATACTTTCATCATTGGTTTAGATCCTCACAGAGTGGACAAGTTCTACTTAGTAGTAATAATAGTTGTAGTAGTAGTAACAATAATGAGATAAAAGCAATCAATTCAAAGGTTATTCTAGTATTCTGATTCACAAAGCTTGATCCAAACATTATTTAACATCTGTACAAAACTAATGGAAGAGATCATCCTTTGATCGGGTGTGAAATATCACCAGTATGTTGATTATACTCATGTTTACATCACAACCCCAAATCAAGCTGGAGGTACTTTAATAGTCTTGAACTGGATCTTTGAGGGTCTTTAGAGAAGAAGTAATGTGAAGGTCTCCTTGTCCATAGTGCCATCTACTCTTTGAGCAGGAGCTGAGAATTCAAGAAGACTCCAAGATTGTATATCACTGTTGAGAGGAAAATGTGATCCCATCCACAAATAAAGATGGACAATTGCCAAGTCTAGGGAGCCCTAATAAACACAATCTTGGTAGAATTGAGCTAGAGTTGGTCCTTCGCATCCAGGTTCACATAGCATCCAGATATGCTGGCAGAACTGCAACATTTTGGTGTCTAAGCTTTGGGGAAGGCATTGTTTATTTTGCTCTAATTGTATTAATTGAGATGTTTAGGATGTTGCTTTTATATTGAGTTATATTGTTACAGTATATAATATCCAGAATCTTTGGACTGGGTGGTACAATTTTTTAAAAAATAAATGACTGGTTAACTAAATAAATATTCTATGCAGCATTGCCAAAGAATTTATTAATTTCAAATTGTACACTCATGTTAAGAATTTGCTGCAAAGCTTTGCAAGTATTTTCCAATGTGAGGCTATATAAATCAGGTGTCATTTACAAATCCAATTTTTATTTTCCTGTTTTCCAGAAGCCTGCTCAAAATGCAAAGTGAGAACCTGGGACCAGTAAATTACTATGTTGGAATTGATGTTGGCACATCAAGTGTCCGTGCGGCTTTGGTGGACCAGTTTGGCACCGTAATGGCTTATGCAGACCATCCAATTCAAATTTGGGCACCACAACCTAACTATTATGAACAATCTTCTGATGACATTTGGGCAGCTTGTTGTATAGTCACAAAGGTAGGGACATAGTATGAATGAATGACTATTGCATGCTACATGCTTTGAGGTATCCTATCTAATTATCTGAAAGAAGCTGGCTGTCTTTGAAAATGATTGCAATGTGACATCTCTTCACTGTTAAGTTCACAAAATGTTGGCCTTTTTGTTTATGTTTATCTGTATGAGAGCCATGTTTTAAAGACTGGCAGAAGCTTCTGGCAAAATGTGCATTTTGTCAATTATAGCTGCATTCTTTTTCTCTCTTTCGGTATCAAATGTCTTCTCCCTATGTTGCGAGCCGGGTTTTAATTTCCTTCCAATATATGTAACAAAGTTCTATTAAAAACAGCATAGATGCTATTAGACTGGATATCCTTCATTTATTGGACAATTTATTCATTAATTAATTTGCAGAGTGGGGCATATGGAGAGCTTTAATCTGTTCTAATTCATGGCAATTTTGAAATGTGTTGGGTTTCTATTGCAAAATTTATATCTTGAAGTTGTATTTTTTTCATCCAATAAGTCAGAAAAAAATACCAAATTCTTATTTAAATTTTTAAAAGTGATTCTATATGTCTGAGCACATGATCAGATAAAAGCATGCATAAATTTTCCTCAAGATGATTAAGAGGCATTCGTATGTTAATATCTTGTAACTGTACATACATTGTAATGGAAAAGTAACCTGAAAATTAAATAATGAATGCGAAATAAAAGGTTATTATTCTGTTCTGGCTCCTTTGCTTTAATGTGGATACTGTGGGTTGAAGTAGTAATGGACATTGGGGACAGTGAGGTGTTTTAGACCTCTAAAAAAGATGTGGATTCAAACCAACCGATATTCTGAGGTTGCTTTTTAAATATGCATGAGATACTTGGTAATTTGTGGATGGACAGTTCATTGTTCTCTTGTTATTGATCAGTCTTTTTAAACATTCATGAGCCATGCTATTGAGTGATCGTCCTAAGAGGGTTGAGGCCAGAACAATTGTTATGTGAATAATAAAATAAGAGTAGAGTGCTTCTCTTCGTCATATATTCCCTCTCTTTTCATATTTAACTTAAAGATTAAATATATTACTATTATACTTTAGTAATCTGATTTACAAAGTGTATAAAAGTTAAGAGTGATTCTAACTGACATTGATGAAAAGAAAACTTTCACTGGCATTAACATTTGTTTTTTATTTGGGGGGAAATGGCTTCTTGATCCGCAAAGTTGACACAGGGAGCAGTTGCCAATTGCCTTCCTCTGTTCTACTTCATTTCTTCGTGCCTAATATTATGACTTTCAGAGAACTGGAACCTTTAAAAAAATAGCTGGATGCATTTTAAGTGCAGAAGGACACTTAAAGGATGACACTGATGGACCATCATACTTGGGAGATTAATTTTCTTGTAGAGTTGTTTCCTCATCTGGAGAACCTTAAAGGTCTGATATCAGTCATGCAAGTCTCATTGTGTTTTTCCATTCCTCCTTCTTATATCCTAATGATTCAGGAAAAAGCCACTGTGCCAATTTTGTTTCTGTAGGGGCTTCTAAATATTTCTCTCAAGACCAAATCTGCATCAGAAAAGTATCTGAGGCTTTGAACACCTATTGTCACTCAGATTAAATGAATGTTTCTTAAACTGGGTTCTAAGTTTGTTGTTTTTAGATCAGTTCAATTCCTCCAGGTAAACGAATACTATATCCATGAAAGAATTTATATTAACAGATCTCTCCTCAGATCTCACAGTAAAACAATTGGGAAAAATATCATGAGAACACATTTGGATGAGCGCTCATCAAAACAATGAGGTTTTTAGTAAGAAAACATTGTTGAAGTTTTCTTTCAATTTATTTTTTCTGGAAGTGGATTTTTGACAATCACAATAACCAACCTGTTATACTGGAAATTACACATACCATTTGTTTAATAGTTTCATTCCCATTATTGACCAATATACCAACATATGCAAGCTCATGCATCTCCATTACAATATATAATCAGTTAAATGTAAAGGAAAATTACATTTCAATTTATTTTTTCTGGAAGTGGATTTTTGACAATCACAATAACCAACCTGTTACACTGGAAGTTACACATACCATTTGTTTAATAGTTTCATTCCCATTATTGGCCAATATACCAACATATGCAAGCTCATGCATCTCCATTACAATATATAATCAGTTAAATGTAAAGGAAAATATATTTATTTTGTGGTCTTGGATTCTGGATTTCTGTGGATTATAAGAAGAACGAATTAGTCAACAATGGGTAGAGTAACCAACAGTCCAAACTGATATACTGTAGTTATCCTTATTAGTAATTTAGATAATCATATAGTGTCAGCATTTATACTCTACGTACAGTGTGGTGTATGTTCAAATTCAAAGAAATTTAATTTGAACTTCAGCTTTGTACACTGAAGCTGTTTTGTGGGCCTCATTAAATAGAAAAGTGAGCTATGTATTTATTTATTTTTCTTTCACAGAAAATTACCCAAGGAATAAATATTTCCCAAATCCGAGGGCTTGGCTTTGATGCTACCTGCTCCCTTGTTGTTTTGGATAGCCATTTTCATCCTTTGGCAGTCAACTCTGAAGGTAAAGCAAATAATAACTAAGATTTGCAATAGCAAAATGATAATTTAAAATAAAATCTAGGCAATAATAATATAGCCAGTATAAATTCAATTATAAAATATGCTGATAGTGAATTATCACTTTTCAGATAGATATGATTAAAGTATTTGTATTTAAATGTATAAGATTTTCATATTTTGGGGGGAAGGAGATTTGTTATCAAGTTTTATTTAAAGTAGAAAGTTAACTGAATTAGAAGGTGAAAGTGTGATAACAGAGGGAATTTGGCTGAGTCAGATAGAGGTAAAGATTTCTTTATAGAATGAAGACTAAGTCACAGCAGTAGTGGTATTCAGCCGGTTTGCACCGTATCGGGCGAACCGGTAGCAAGAATTTGACGTGGGTCACCGAACCTGTAGTAAGTTCTGGCTGGCCACGCCCCCCACCCAGTCGCCCTCCCGCTTGATGTTCTCTTACCCCACTTGCCTGGCTGCCATTCACCTAAGGTATTTCTTTTTTTCCCCTCCCGACAATCAGCTGTAGATAAGGTCAGCTGTGCTGGGATTCCCCTTGCTGAGGTCCAGGAAGGCAAAAAATAGAGGGAGGAGCTCAGCCCCTCCTCCATTTTTTGCCTTCCAGAACCCCAGAGGCTTCTCTGAGGCTAGGAAGCTCCCAAAACGGAGCTTGGAGGGTGCTGCGTGCCCCTCCCATGCTCTGTTCCTTTTCTCCTGAACCCCAGAGGAGCCTTAGGGGAGCAAAAATGCCCCCCCCCCCGAGGCTTCTCTGAGGCGAGGAAGCTCCCAAAACGGAGCTTGGAGGGGTGCTGCGAGCCCCTCCCATGCTCTGTTCCTTTTCTTCCTGACCTCCAGAGGAGCCTTAGGGGAGCAAAAATGCCCCAGCCAGAGGCTTCTCTGGGGCTAGGAAGCTCCAAAAACGGAGCTTGGAGGGGTGCTGCGCGCCCTTCCCATGCTCTATTCCTTTTCTTCCTGAGCCCCAGAAGAGCCTTAGGGGAACAAAAACGCCCCCCCCC